TTTACCCAAAACCACAAAGATAGGCTAAAATCTTCATTCAAAGGCCCTCTGACTGACTAGTAAACTTGTCTTGCTGATTTTTTATTCTGTTTAAAGCTTTTCACTGTCGATAGTTTTCAAGATCAAGAGAAAAAAATGCAAAAAATTATCATTGAAGGGCATTAACTCCTATAAGTGATTAGCCATACTGACTTTAATCGAAGATCTTGTTTAGAATATAGTGTTTGCTGTTTAAAGTTTTTGTATATGATATTTTTCAAGATTTTCAACAAATTGTAAAAATCGTCAATTTAGGACAATAAATTATATAAGGAGTCTTCTAGCGATTTTTTTTTTTTAAATAAACAGTAGTTAAATCTTGGCACTCACTTAATTCCCTTGTAATGTTTTCTCTCATTTGTTAAGATATAAACTATTTCTTGCATTCTACCGTATGTTCTATTTGGAAGGTTGACAACCATGTTAGATGACGGGCTGAATTTTGAGACTTTACTTTTAACTACATAACCTAAATATGAGTATGGCCCAAGTCAGGAGCCTGTAGTTCAGTGGTTGTCGTTGGTTCATGTCTGTCATATTTGTTTTTCGTTAATTGTTTTGTTATAAATTAGGCCATTAGTTTTCTCAACTGAATTGTTGGGGCCTTTTATAGCCGACTAAACGAATATTTCTCATTGTTGAAGGCCTTACGGTTGCCTATAATTGCTTGCATCCACTTCATTTGCACTTTGGTGGATAGTTGTCTCATTGGCAAACACATCAACTATAAGAGGAAAACAACGGAACAACAGAAACACTGATCTGCAACAAAAACAAACGCCAACATACATAGAAACGGACTATTTGATAACAACTGCCATATTCCTGACTTGGTACAGGACATTTTAAGAAAAGAAATGGTGGGTTGAACCTGGTTTTATGGCTAGCCAAACCTCCCGCTTATATGGCAATGTTAAAAAATATCGCTAAAATGACAACGCTACGTCACAAGAATACAGTACATACAAACGCAAGAACACTAAGCACAGATAAATGCATAAATAAATAATATAATAGTACATTACAACATGTAAACCGCAGAATAACAACGAACATCTCCCATTAACGACAGCACATGACACTACAAACTGCGCGTCACATGAATGGATCAACGCCACAAAAAGTGACGTATTTTAGTGACGTATATTTAATCTTGAAATTCATACAATTATATGGAACGAGATCCAAAAATTCACAATACTAGTCCAAATAATTATCATGATTATGACGGTCTTGAACGGCTATTTTAAATAATGCTGCGACGACGTCATAATTATTTGGACTAACACAATATTTTATCCATGGAAAATGAAATCAACTCGACTATACTGAAAAATAAGACATATGTGAAATGTACCGAAAATACAGAATTCAAACCACAAAACGATAAGACATAACACAATATCCAACAGTATTTACAAAAGAAACATCATAACTAAATACATGAATGTTGGATGTATAGTACCGAGACACGTCGTATAGCAATGCAAATTCACACTCGGCAAAACAGTAAATTAATAAATATTCGGGAATAAGTCACGTACTTAGCAGACAGACGTAGATGGTAAACCACAATCTCAGACGTGGTGATGATGTCCATAAAATTTACGGAGTGTCATTTTTAATCTTTCCTCCTCATAACTCTGTTGGAGCAGTTTCTGCGTAAGGAGCACACTCCTGTATATGAAGTCCGTATGGTGTGAACATGCACGAGCATAACGTATCAATTGAGATACGTAAACACCATACGACGGAGCAGAGGGTATGTTACTGCTGAGAAATGGGAAATTGATATTTGGTAAGTTGAAATCATCCCGTTTGTCATAGATTTTAGTGTGAAGTCGTCCATCTGTGTCAATATTGAGGAAAAGATCAAGGTATGAAGCAGTCCTTCTAGTATCAGTAGTATCCTTAATTTCAAGTTCACTGGGATATATGAAATGCAAGTACTGACTGAAATATGGGTTATTTAGTGATAGGACATCATCAATATATCTGAAAGTAAAATTAATGAATTTCGCAAGATGTTTTTTTCGTTTTGTCCTTTAGAAGGTTCTGAATGAATTCTGCTTCATACGAGTACAAAACTGCGTTTAAATTTTATAAACATGAGATTTTTATAAAAACTGATGATAAGTATCCAGCAGAGTGAGACGCGCGTTTCATGTACAAAAGACTCACCAGTGACTCTCTAAAAAAAATAGTTAAAAAGGCCAAATAAAGTACAAACTTAAAGAGCATTGAAGACCCAAAATTCCAAAAGGTTTTTCCAAATACAGCTAAGGTAGCCTATTCCTGGTGTAGAATATCCTTAGTATTTCGAAAAATTCAACATTTGGTAAATATATGTAGTTAATTCATAATAAAAGCATTTTCTGTCGTTTTACTTTGAATGAAGAAAAAACCCTGATTGACAGGTGAGTTATATTAGTGGAAACATGGAACGCTTTTGGTGTTAATTTTATTGTGTGCACCTTATATTACACAATTGTAAAATAGTTATCAAAACTAGTTCTATTTAAATTTGGAACACAATTTTATAAATACAGAAGCTGGATTAAGATTCTCACTTTGTTACTAGTATTTAAGTATTTGGAATTATCTTGAATATTTATTTATTAGTAATATAAATGGTATTAATTCAAAACCAATCATCATGAATTGTTAGTATAGTTCTTTTTAATTCTTAGGGAACTACCATTTGATTTTTATGGGGGGGGGGGGCTAGGATGAAATTTGAAAAAAAGGCAGGACAGGAGTTTTGAGTAAAAAAAAGGCAGGATGAGCAGCTTGGCAAAAAAAAAGGCAGGATGACAATTTATGTAAAAAAAGTCAGGATAAACTAATAAAAAAAAAGGCAGGATAAAATTGTTCATCCTAGTCACCCCCCCCCCCCCCCCCCCACCCCACCCCCCCCTAAAAATCAAATGGTAGCTCCCTTATGTTAATTGATTGAAATAATAAGAAGATTCAGTTTTAAGGTGTCTTCTAATCATATATTTTTCTTTTTTAAAACGCGATAGAAGTATGAACAAATGCCATTGAAAATTTAGTTCACGTTCCAAGCCATCATTATCCGAGTTAATCTATATATATATATAAACCTACGAAAAATCTGTAGATGATGACGTTTCAAAAATGTTGACAAGTAGCCTTAACTGAACTCAGGGAATCACAAATCGTGCCAGTTCTCTATCATATACTAGAAACATTGAAGCAATGGACATAGGGCATATAAGGAAACAAAATTGCAGACTCTCACGAAGAACCGATTATATTCAGTGACGATCTACTCGTGTCATTTTTAATTAATTCATTTCCAATAGTCCAAATGAAATAGAAGATCTTTCATCGATGATAGTGTTTGCGTTTACCAATGGAAAGGACCAAGCAGGATGCTCACTTTATTTACATCTATATAAAAACAGCACTGTTTTCAAAACGAAGGATCTGTTTCGATGGAATTAAGGAACACAGTTATAAGTAAATTATCTCAGAATAAATCAAGCTTAACACGAAAAGATGAAAATGTCTAGACTTTAAAGGGAAACATCCTGTTCGTTTATCCAACCGCAGTAATGGTTAACTTTTATTGCCTATTAATGAGGGATCGATTTAAAAAGATAAACTAAATAAACATGATTTGGGTATTTATTAGGACCTGTTAGGTGTTTACAGACTATACAATATTTTATTATTTAACCTCATACACAAATGTGTAAAGAATAAAGCCCCCCCCCAAAAAAAAAAAAGAAGAAAGAAAACAGAATAATGGGGCCCAAAAATATGACGATAAATAGAGATTACTTGGCAAAAAATAAAGCCTAAAGAATGTAATCTAGAAATGAAGACCCTCAAATATTGTCTTTCGTATAACAATGAAAGTTTCTACTTCATCGAAAAAATGTATGACAAAAGTGACGATTTTACGTTTTTAAATACTAAATTTTCCGTTTTCTTAGTAGAAATACACACTTGAATCACTTGCATGCATAGGTTACTACAATTGTACTTCAGGCTGGTGTGTTCATTCGGGTAACTTCTTCAATGTTATACTTTGTTCAGCTGAAAGTAATATCATAACTAGAAGGTTTTTGTTGAATCACAAACACAACTAGATTTGCGATTGCAATCAAAAAACAAATGTCATTCCCAAAGTTGTAGTTTGCTTGGTAATGGCCTTTTCAAACATTAACTGTACGTATAAACATAAATGGTCACAATTCTATAAACGTTATATACAAATTGAACAATTTTCATATTTTCACTCTTTTGCTATTTCCATGCAACGGTGGTCATTTTGAAAATTCCGAAGTCAGACGGCGCTTTTACACGTGACAGGTAACATTTCTATTATTTCCTTATGGTTGGTACCTATTTAAATGTTTTAAATTGTATCTGTTTCCACGGAGATGGCGGACATTTTTTAAACATCTAAATTCAGATACACATATAAACTTGGTGATTATAGTTATTGTCAAAATTGCTCCAATCATCTTATAGATTTCAGGTGAACAAAGAGTGTGGAATAAAAGAAACGTAGAATTATAGTATATACCCCGACATTCGTTCATGGTGACAAAATAAGTTTAAAGCAAAGACAAACATGATATAAAAGTTAGCTCATTTTTCAAAAACACGATCATACAAAAGACACATGGGCTATTTATGGACAGATTAATTGAAATAAGTTAATTTAAAGACTGCGATTTAAAAATGATCTTTTCGAAATTTTAATGAGATGCAAATTTAACATAAGTACTATTAATCTATTTAGCAATCTGCCAAACTTAATGACATTTTACTTATCTTTAAGCATGACGAGCTATAAATACATATCACTTCTGAATGATACAAAATGCGTTGATACATAAAATTAAAGGCAATAACTCATTATTTTTAAATATTCTTACACTTAAATTGCAACGTTAATATCTATATTACATACAAGATCAATACAATATGCCAAATGCGATAGGCTTTACATGCCAGTGTATACGTACTAACGAAACTATGAGCGGCGACCCTATTACTGAAGCCATTATCAAGAATTTGGTGTACATAAAAAAAAATATAACAAACATCGAGAATATTGTTGACGTGTTGATTACAAAGGAAATTATCGGATTTCACGATAGACCCAATTTTGTTTTTCATGGAATACCACACAGTGAAAGAATCCAGGAGGTGATCAATGAAGTGCTAAAGAAAGGGGCATCCGATGAATTTATTACCGCATTAATGGACTCCGGCAATGCACATGTTGCTGAACAGATTCTCAGTTTAGACGAAAAAGGTAAAAACATATAAAATAATTTAAATTCTTTTCTTAATATTAATTTTCGCTTGAAATATTAATACTAATGATATCATGAACATTGATTTGAACAGAATTTGATTTTTAGAAAATTGATAAACACAGGTTAATCAGTCCATATAAAAATAAGGAGATGTGGTATGATTGCCAATGAGACAACTATCCACCAAAGTTCAAATGAAGTGGATGTAAGCAATTATAGGCAACGTACGGCCTTCAACAATGAGGAAAACCCATACTGTATGGTCGGCTATAAAAGGCCCCGACAATATGAAACAATTCAATTGAGAAAACTAACGGCATAAATTATAACAAAACAATTAACGAAAAACAAATATGACAGACATGAACCAACGACAACCACTGAACTACAGGCTCCTGACTTGGGACAGGCACATAAAATATGTGGCGGGGTTAAACATGTGTGTGAGCTCTCAACCCTTTTCCTAACCTGGGACAGTGGTGTAACAGTACAGCATAAGAACACACTGTAAAAATCAGTTGAAAAAGGCTTAACTCATCAGATGGATACAAATAGAAATATATCTAACAAAAACACAGAGTGGACGTGGACGGGTACTTATACATCCCAAAAACAAAAAGACACTAAGTACAGATCTGAGAGTACTCGCAGTTACTGACAGCTAGTTCAAAGCCAATAAAAACTAATGAAAAAATCATGTATCAAAGACTAAAATATCAATCAGTACACATCCAACATCCAATGGATTTAGTGTAAAGACGTCATTACGTCAGAGAAAAACATGACCTTGTGTAACGCCAAACTATAGGTATCGACAGATTGTAGTACCGTGAAAGTACATATGTATAATATTTAGTATGGTTTTAATTTACTGATAACAAAATCAATATTTATACCAATAAAAACAATATTCAAAGATTTAATTACAGTGTTGCATAGGTAACCTTTTAGAATAAGTTTATTTAAAGGATTGATAAGTTTACCCGGATCGTATCTAAATTTCCGGGCTCGGTTCACAAATCTCCGTAAAATTTAGGATGTGCTATTCCGTTTGAAATAAGTTTCCTTTTCTACAGGTACAACCAAACTTGCAGATCAAATCTATGTATCTATGAAAGAATTTAGTAAATGTTTTAAGTAATTTGTGGTAACGAAATCCCTGACACAATAATTTACTAGTAATACATAGATTACGCTCATTAAAATCCAAAACGTCACTACAGACACGAGCATAGCAAACGAGTTGGGATATATAAACACGGTAAGACGGTTCCAAAGGAACATCACATTCCAAAAAGGGAAAATTAACAATAGGGAAAGAAAAATCATCCCTTTTGTCGTAAATTTTTGTGTAGAGTTTCTGGTGTAAAACTGAAATATCTAAATCTAGGAAAGGAAGTTATTGCTGTTGATATTAAATTTATTTAAAGTAAGTTCCTTTGGGTAAATTTCAGCAGTATAGTTAGAGAATTCTTGATTGTTTAACGAAAAAATATCAAGATAACGGTAAGTGTTGTTAAATTTATCAAGTAAATGGAATTTAGACGGTTCTTTACTGAGTTTGGCCATAAACTGTGATTCATAACAGTAAAGGAACAAGTCTGCTATTAAAGGGACACAATTGGTGCCCATAGGAATACCTACAATCTGTCGATAACCTTTATTGCCGAAACGTACATACATGTTGTCAAGGAGAAAATTTAGTGCTTTAATCATCTCATCACACCTCCAGTAAGTATATCTAGCATATTTACCTTTCTCATTAGAGAAAAAGGCTTTATATGAGTTGCAGCAAATAAATTTGCAACCAGATTTATCAAACGACCATTTAGATAGATAGGAAAACTTTTGTTTGATAAGATTGTGTGGAAGTGTAGTATAAAGAGTGGAAAAGTCAAAACTGTCAACCGAATCAAAAGGACCATCAAAAGCACGTAATTTATCTAAAACATCCAAAGAATTTTTTACACTCCAAAATGGTTAATTCCACTGTTTTCATATGTTTTATTACAAAAATTAACGATAAGTTCTTTGATAGTAGTTAAGGAATTCGTTAAAAGCACCAAAAGATTAGTAGTAAAACACTTACTAGAGACCGAGATGAAATATTTGCGTTCATTTGTTTTTCGTTTTGAGAAAAAAATAACAATTGGCAAATTTAGTTGGTGTAGTCGAGCGTTTGATTTTGTCATGTGTTATGGCCTCACCCCTTTTTGAATTTACCTTGGATTTTGGTCTTCTTGTAAATACCTTTTTAGTCAATCGCAATAATTAAATTTAGTATCTGGGATAGGAATCATAAAAATGTTGTATATTGTTAAAACGCACACCTATGACTTGCGCTGTATTCATCCTAACTATCGATTTAACCTAAAAGTATTTGAGTATATAGACTTTGATCATATTTAATTGACCACCAAATTTTTAAGTAAATATATATAAAAGAAAATTCAGGTATATTTTCAAAAGTTTAATGTGAAAACATGTACAGCTGCATTGACTTTAAATATACCTAAAAAAGTAAATGGTAGTTCATGGGGACTTTAAAAAAATCTGGAGGCTTATTTTTATGGGGTCTATTTTCTCTATTTTTCGCCTATCATTTTCTTTTCTGTACGCCCATTGAGAACCGCATAACTATTGACATCATTTGAATACATGGTTGAATGATTGAAGTCTGTACGGTGACCTTTACTTCTTTACTTCATTGATCACATCAAACTTTCTCATTTTTGAAATGCTGAACAGGCCCTGGAAATGAAGGAAATACATTTTATACCTAGCCTAGCCTGATTTGTCTGCTTAAATAAAAGTAAAAAGATGTGATATGATTGCCATGAGACAACTATCCACCAAAGTTCAAATGAAGTGGATAAATGCAACTATAGGCAACCGTACGGCCTTCAACAATGAGAAAAACCCTTACCTTATAGTTGGCTATAAGGCATATACATGAAATATAAACTATTGAAACGTAACATTTTGCATGACATATTATCTTGTTTGTATATCTGTGTATCCCGAACTGCAATTGCGATCACTACGGAACGCTATACAAAAACTAAAGGCTACAAGAAATCTGTACCGCCCACCTGGTATTATTGCATAAAATTGACACAAGAGTATTTGTTCGGAAATGAAATTTCATAGACCAGATCTTGTCCTATTGTTTATTTCTACTGGACCGACTTTCTGTTTGTCCATAAATAAGTTCAAGATAAGAATTTCAATAATGAAATAGCAGTTAAGGGGGCAATCCGAGGCCTTCGTAAGTTAGAACGAATATGCCGTATTTTGTAAGTTAAGGATGAACTTCTGAATCATATTTATTCAACGAAAATGTTATTCAAATTTTCCATATAATAATAATTCTTGTGATATGATTTATCATACTACCACAATTTAAATATATAACGGGTATATTTCTAATCTATAATTGTTGAAAACCCCAAAGGATATGATTTATATGTACATAACACACACTCTGGCATAACCTTCAATAGGAACGCTCATGACTAAATAAGGTGCAAGTGTGAGTGCATTATTCAAGACAATGAGGTGGCTATATTAGCTCGCCTATATATAAAATGACCTAACGATGAAAATATGTGTAATTTCGAAAAGACATTAAAGAAATCTAGAGGTTATAAAGAGCCTGCGTCGCTCACCTTGGTCTATGTGCATATTCAACAAAGGACACTCCTCTCCAACATTGTAAACGAAAATAGAATTCATGACAAAAATCTCTGTTTTGTTGATCTTGTATTGCTGATCATTTAGTCTGTTTAGTTTCTCTCTATCTTCTTTAGTTTTTGCTCAAAACACAAAAGAGAGTAAAACAAATCCTCATTTAAAGGCAATCACTCCTATAAAGAATGACAGTCTACTAACTAAATTTGATTTGTAAGTAGATCTTGCCTTGCTGATCATTTTTGTGATTTAAAGTGTCTATTTATCTATTATAATTTTATCATATAAGGCAAAATGCAAAAAATGGTGAAAATCGTCATTAAAGAGCAATAACTCCAATCAGGAGTAAACCGACGATTTCCTCCATCAGTCTTATTTGTAGATCATGTCTTGGTGATCATTTTTGCTTATTTAAATTTCTATCTATCTATTATATTTTTTTAAGATATAAGGCAAAAACGCAAAAAAATGGTAAAAATCGTCATCAAAGGGCAATAACTCTGATAAGGCGTCGACTGACAAACTTATTTGTAGAGCTTGTCTTGCTGGTCATTTTTGCGGTTTAAAATTTTTCTCTATCTATTTTAGTTTACATGATAATAAGCAAACATGAGAAAAATGGCAAAATTTGTCATTTAAGGGCAATAACTCCTATAAGAAGTCGTCTGACAGTTTGACGTATATGAACAATTGGTAGAGGTCAACATTCTGAACATTTTTGCTCCCGTCAGATTTTCTATATTTATAACGGTTTTCAAAACAAAAGACAAAACTTGCATTTTACCCCTATGTTCTATTTTTAGCCATGTCGGCCATCTTGGTTGGCAGGCGGGGTCATCGGACACATTTTTTAAACTAGAAACCTCAATGATGATTGTGGCCAAGTTTGATTAAATTTTGCCCAGTAGTTTCAGAGGAGAAGAGTTTTGTAAAAGTTAACGACGACGACGGACGACGGACGCCAATTGATGAGAAAAGCTCACTTGGCCCTTCGGGCCAGGTGAGCTAAAAATAATTAATACAATAAAAGACGCCATGAATAGGCGTTGGTTTTTAATACGATTAAAGAAAATAAAGAGTAAACGGTGGTTACATATAAAGAAAAAGGGATTTATTTCTCCCATTCCCCCCAAAAAATCACGAATATAGAATAATGGGCAAAAAACTAAAGAATAAAAAGAAATGATATTAAACTTGACATTTAAGATAGACACTGATCTATCTACCATTGGATACCATATGTAAACCTCTGTACGTCTTCTGGTTTCCTGTATGATTAGTAAAAAATTTACTCAATATTTGCTTTTATCACAATATATACAACTGCTGTGAACATTAAAAACGGAAGAAAGTGCAAATATATATTAAATGCAGTATTGCTAAAAAAAATGTTTTCAACTCCTTTTTATACGGATTTTGAGCATCCTCACATGACTCATTGTGTAATATGTTTATTATGTGGTTTCATTTTTATTTTTGGAATACTAATTGTCGTGGATTTAGTGGGTACTGGTGAACCACGAATTTAAATTTTCAACAAATTACAAAACTTCTAACGGCTTGTATGCAGTCTTTAGCTAAACCATGAAATCAAATATCCTCGAAAAGGAAAGATTTCCACCAAATAATCCAGAAAAAGTGGTAACCAGGAAAGTAAATGAATCCACAGTAAGTCGTAATCACAACGATACATTTTTTTTAAACATAATGATGAAGTAATTCGCATGTATTTCAAAACTTCTTTTAAAAGGAAATAAACTGGTGTTAAATGAGATGTTAGTTTTTGTAATGTTCCAGTGCTATGTTTGGCAAACATATAGCTAGTTTAAAAAGGAAATGTATTTCGATCTAAGTTTTTCTTTATTGCTGAACATTATATATGAAATTGTCACTGCAGGTTTTGCGACCTATACCCAAGGCACAAGGGTGAGTATTCAATCTTAATTCAAAAGAGAATTATACTATTATTTTATTTGTTTCGAAATGTGTATTATTTGTTATAACAAAGTTAGTTACTTCGGCTAATTAAATGAAAATTTCACTTTATAAATTTCATACTGTATACGAAGCACTGACATTAATTTATCATTTAACACATTTCACTAGAGGATATATCAATATGACATCGCAAAGAATACAAGTCAACCTACTAGAAGAAATATAGATTTTGAACGGATGTGTTTGTATTTATTTTGCCTTTTTTCAAGTAAATCACAGAAGCTCTTACTTGAACACCTATTCGGGTGACCGTCTTTGTTCTTCAAACTTCTTTTAACCAATATTTATTATTTCGTATTGTTTTCCATCGAAGCAGTACATTAAAAAATTTCGTTTGTTTTTTACTTAAATCGGGCCGTTAGTTTTCTCGTTTGAATTGTTTTACATTTGTCATTTCGGGGCCTTTTATAGCTGACTATGTGGTATGGGTTTTGCTCATTGTTGAAGGCCGTACGGTGACTTCTATGTCATTTGGTCTCTGTTGGAGAGTTGCCTCATTGGCAATTGTACCACATCTTCATACTTTTACATTCAACTGACAGTGACAGTATCTCAAATAAAGTTTGACCATTCAGTAAAACATTTTCTAAAATGTTTTTGTGTGCATTTTTCTTAACATACTAATTTTTCCTCATAAAACAAGGAAATGTTGTATGATTCCCATTGCGATAACCATGATAACTATCGACCATTGATTACATGTAAAATGATTAAAATGTGATGGATGTAAGAAAATAAAGGTCACCGTACGGCCTTCAACATTAGCAACAATCATAGTTATCGTAAACTATTAGCCCCCACATGACAAAATGGTAAATGATAAGACCAACGATCTGATGTACCCACATTTCAAGGAATGCTAACTTCTCATATATTCACGTCAACTTGAAATTAAGGATACTACAGAAAGTTGAAGGTCTGAGTCATATCTGGATCTTTTCCTCAATATTGACACATATGGATGACTTCAAACTAGAATATATGACACACGTGATGATTTCAATATTCCAATTATCAACTTCCCAGTTTTCAGCAGTAACATACCCTCTGCTCCATCATATGGCGTTTATGTTTCTCAATTAAGACGTTACGCTCGTGCATGTTCACACTATTCTGACTTCATTGACAGGGATGTGCTCCTTACACACAAATTTCTCCAACAGATAAATGAGTAAGAACGATTGAAATCGATACTACAGAAGTTTTAAGGTAATCAGCACGAATTGGTTGACCGATAAGATGCGTCGGTGTCTCAACTAACTTGCGACATGTTCTCGCGGTAATAGATCTTTAAACCAGTATAGTCAACTGATCTTCAATTATACCAATTGTGTTCTTTTCCCGATTGTGAATTCGCATGGTGATGCATGCATATCAGGAGACGTGTACCCAGTCGAGCATGGTCTCGCTTATTTTTGAAGTTCTTGCGATTTACTCGGTTTCTGTTTGTAACCTATATTTGTCTCTTCCTAATTGATTTACGAGATTTGAACTAGTGTTGCCTTAATTAATGCTAAAAGAATGAACTTAAAAGAATATAACAGACAGCATCTAACGACAACCACTGAATTATAGGCTCCAGACTAGGACAGACACACGATTGATTGATTGCTGTTTCCTTAAAGTCCAGTTACAAATTTTGCATTCATGTTCATGTCGAGAACAATTAACACTTAACACTCAATACGGTAAGACCTGCAATAAGGGTCGACCGGGAGGAAGGTCGTGAAATTTGGAATAAGAGGGTACATTGGATAGGCACCGATATTATTCTGGTAACATCCCACCTAAGGACTCCTCGATCAAAGAGTTGTTACAAGGGTTGTTAACGGGCTGAGAGTTGACACTTTCTCTTCACGAGGAATCGGGTTTTACGTCCCTATTCTGACCGGCCATGTTGTGATTTATACCGCACATTCAAACGGACGTCCCAGTAAGACAAGGGCTTTACGCGGGGCTTTACGGTCGGTATGATTATTTCCATCTGGGTTATTCGGACACTAGAATACAAATTGAACGTTCAACGCAATAACACACACACATTCATGCAAAGTGTGCATTGAAATGAAATGGATATAAAAAATATCGTAGAAAATTCGTTTTGTCCAAAATAATGTAGAAAATTTGTTTTGTTGAAAATATCTTATTCTTTTAACTATTTTGATCAAAATATTTATTTTCTATTTTCAGTTTATAGTAAATGTAAAACTTGCCTGTACTTTTGGTCGACAAATAATCTAAAGTGATTTATGATACATATCAAAACCAATACATGACTAGAACGGCGTCGCATAATGCGGCTTTGAAGAAAAGGTTGGGAAATTCTCAAGAGTAAGAATGCCGACAATTGTCTTAGGTGAAATCAATCAAAATTTATGTAATTATGGTTTTCCAGTGGGAACTCTCAAACTCCCGATCTGTTAATACACCCTCTGGAAATACATCCAAAAAGCGCATCAATGATTACATGTTTATATATTTGTACTCCAGACGTTCGTTTTGTATAAATAAGAATCATCAAAAGTGTTTACAATCATACGGTCGATGCCACAACAGATGAGGCCGAGGGTATCACCAATTTAGTAGTCAGCACTTTCGTGTTGACTTGAAATATCAGTGATTTTTTGTTTTTTTATGCACTTCAACTTCGTCTTTCATTTTACCTTCCAACTGTTTTGATTCGAGTGCCATGGATGAGTCTTAGGAAGACGAAATGCGCGTTTGGCGTGTGATAATTATGATATACATTGTGCCTTAGTGAGTATTTACATCCTCTGGGTGGATACTTTTGCTTGTAGACGTTTCTTCCCCGATGCCATCACCAAGCCAGCAGTCAACACGCTTTTGTGTTGACATGGAATATCAGTATATGGTCAACTTTTCATTATCTTTTCATAATCTTTTGTTTTCAATATTCAACTTATTAGGCCTTCAAATTGTCTTGCCACTGATGATTCTTACGTACTTTATTTTGTCTTTTAACTTGTGATTCCAGCATCAAAAGCGAAGTGAGTGTTTAGTAGACGAAGTAGTCTTGTGTACAAAATTGTTAGCCTGGTATATTTGATGAGTTTTTACCGGTTTATCGATTTTAAATGTTCTGGCAACAAATTTCTTTTCTGTCTTGTATTTTGAAATTTTTTTTGAGGAGTTGATCCACAAACTAAAAAAAGTTATAATTGCAGGTACCAAGTAATGGGACAAGACCGAAAGACAGACTAATACAAGCTTATAGAGATATAGCAACACTACAAAGAGAAAAAAAATGAGATCTTAAATGAGATAAAGTCCTTGCAAACGGATCATCAGGATCAAGTAGCAGATCTCCATGAACAGATACTAGAATTGCAAAGAAAAATGAAGGAAAAGGATAAAACAATAAATGCACAAAATGAGTACCTACGGAAGTTGAAAGAAATGCAGGAAAAAAAGTCTACAAGACACGAAGAGCAAATGGACGATATAAAGCAGACATTGGCAAAAGTAGTTAACATTTGTGAAACAACTAAGGAAAAGGTTATCGAAACTCAGAAAAAGGTCACATTACTTGAAGACCAGATGAAAAAACCACGAGTTCGAGCAAATATTACCTCTACGATGAGAGAAGAACGAAATAAAGCCAATAAAACCAAAGATTAATATTTTGAATAACATCTTGTGAAAATATTTGCTACTTTTTGACAGAAAGCTTATAAATATGTATTTCTAATTGCTCATTTTTACGTTTTCTAAGTATATGTTATCAATTTCAAATTACGAGATTTTTATCAATATCTAGTTAATTGTAATTTAATCAGTGGTTTTAAACAAAGATACAATGTTTTGAGCCATTGTACTAAATGCATTATGTGAGCGAATATGGCCTAATAAAATCATGATAGAATAAGTTAACATACCGGTAATAAGTTCAAAAATGTACCAAGGGGAAATAATAAGTCGAGGAAAATGAACAACACCATGACCCAAGAACAAAAAAAAAGACAATTTACAAAACGAACCCTACAATTTCAGGGGCAAACTAAGGTGCTTTGAAAGGGCAAGTTGTTCTTGATGATCATTACAAGTAAAAATTCCCGTGATATGACATATTCAATGATTGTCATAATAAAAAGTAAAATAACGAGAATACCGAACTCCAAGGAAAATTCAAAACGGAAAGTCCTTTATCAAATGGCAAAATCCAAAGCTCAAACACATCAAACGAATGGAAAACAACTGTCATATTCCTGACTTGGTCCAGGCATTTCTTAATGTAGAAAATGGTGGATTAAACCTGGTTTTATAGCTAGCTATATGACACATGTATGACAGATGCATAGAATTCCATTATACTGACAACAATGAAGGAAGGACGACAGTATGACCGTTTAAGATAAAAGAAATATAGCTGTGGCCATTTGTGACGGATTTATTGTAACAATAAATAATATTATGATGGCATCCGTTTAACTTCCGAAGGAAGATTCAACATAACAAATTTGTATACCTTGGTTTTTTTAGTAGCTTGGAACTACCTATCAAGAGAATCCTGATTGAAAATAAACTCATCATAGATACCAGGATTGAAATTTTGTATTTGCGCCAGACGCGCGTTTCGTCTACAAAAGACTCATCAGTGACGCTCGAATCAAAAAAAGTAAAAAAAGGCCAAATAAAGCACGAAGTTGAAAAGCATTGAGGACCAAAAATTCCTAAAAGTTTTGCCAAATACAGCTAAGGTAATCTATTCCTGAGTTAGAAAAGCCTTAGTATTTCAAAAATTCAAAGTTTTGTAAACAGTTAATTTATGATTATGAACATATCAATGATATGTCATGTCAACACAGATACCCTCGGGGAATAAAAACTCCACCAGCAGTGGCATCGACCCAGGGGTTGTAAAATGGAACATCGTATCAAGTGGTAGATACGTACAACATATGTATGTGCTGCCAGCATATTGTTACATAAATGTGGAATGTTCACAATGGGAAATTCACATCGTCTATTTGGTGGTAGGGTTTAGTTCTCAACCGACTCTCATTCTCGTTTTTAGGTGAGAGTCAAAGTATTGAAATAAACCTAACTATACATTTTGGTACTTTTTGAGATACTAGATGTGACCAACTGGTCACCAAACTATGTATTCATGAATTATCAATTTCTAATTAAAATAGCGGAACGCAAGGTTTACGGTAATTCTAACTTCTTTTCATTCTTAATGAGAAGTCCCTTATTAAAGCTTGCCTTATTGGAACACAGGAAACATTCAAAAAGTATGAATTTACTTTTGTTCCAACGGTTGAGATATCCTGATTTCTAGCTTTTGCAAGAGGAATTGGACATTTCTTATTTTATTCCACATTGGATTAAGACACAAAAGCTATTTGGGCGTTCTCAATAGAATTGCATTGAAAATATTTGCCGCTTGCTACTGTCGTAACTTAAGTCTCATGGGGCCGTTTTTTTAATTAGGCCCCATTGCGACAACTTAGAAGACACATATGCACCACACAAGAAAATTATTTGATATATTTAGGTTTAGGTATTCCAAAGACAGTCTGTTCGTCACTGAAAGTTTAAACGATCTGCGTTCCGCGATTCAGTTTAGAGTACATATAATAATAAATATTAATAATATTATAATAAGGTGAGTTATAAAATGAAAGTTTCAACCACGTACAATTATCACAAAAATGTTTCCTTTCGAGACAATCAAAATCACCTGGTTTAAAGTATGTACAATAATATCTGCAGTTCGATGTAATGCAGTTGAATATTTGCAATTACTGTTACAAATAAGGACATACATCACGTCCGTCTGCATTCGTAGTTGAACATTTGAAGAGGGAGAAGGGGAACCATCATCAATAAATGTAAATAAATGCACAGGAATTTTGTATAAATTAGTCCAAACATTGCTGATAGATTAAATTACTATTTTTTTTTTTACAGCAACCGCCTTTAAAAATAGGAATCATGAAGTTTTAAATAAAGTATTTACTAAAAGTCACGTCATTCTTGCAATCCTTTAAGAAAGGTCATAAACAATGTATACATCGTATTAAACACGTTTGGCATTTAACCAGAAGAAATTGAGCAAACTACAGATAATAAAGATTATTATTCAAAGCGAGATAGTTAAATGTGATATTGCAAATTTCAAATATTTCTCCGTAATGAGAAGACAAGGAGGCTAACTTCAAATAAAAGTGATATTATTGATAACATTAACGATACAAATTTTACTGCACCAGATGCGATTTCGAAAATTAATGTCTTCAGTGAAAAAGGATCCATCAAAAGTCGAGATTATCAAATATAGTATAACAAAATTTAATTAATAAAAAAAGCCTATCTTAAAAGGTAGTCATCTGATTTAAATATTATTTCAAAATATGCATTATTTGTCTCATTTGATTTAAACGTTTGGGAATAGAATCCTAAATAGTTTCTCTACATTGGAAGCAAAATGCATAAAATTGATTTTGATTAAGAGATCTTAAGCTGGGTTTCTACTCAAAACATTTTTTGCATCTTCTCAAAATGAATAATTTGACAAAGTTTACGCATCATATACGTGAATTACCAAAATTTGTTTAGGTCAGACCGGTAACACTATTTGTGAACGGGTTCGTATCTATGTTCCAGACCATATGAGTATTTGGACCATACGCGTTTGGTCATGACCATATGCGTATGGTCGGACCATATGAGTATAATACTCGTTTGGTTATCAACGGACCGGACCACATGAGTATTTTGACCATATAGATTTTTTTTCAAAAAACAAATAAAACCTCCACAATATCGGAAAATTCAACTAACTGAACATTTAAATCGCTGTTTAGATGGAAAATTTTAAATTATATCGTACTTTAAAGGTACTAGAGAAAGCGATTCCTACCGGGAAGAAATGGAACATTACTTAATAAAACATTTACCCCGATGCTAAATACTAAACTACATTTCTAGAAATATATGCAATGTATTTCTTTGTATGCCCTATTTAAGGATTCACATATTGACAGTATCTACTATAAACGACTGGTACAAATTCTAATTGATTTGGATTGTTGACCACATACACCATCATAAATGTTAAGAAATCTAATTCTTCCCTGCAACGACCATTAATTCCACTAGGTGCATTGATGGTTCTACAAATAAACATTAAAAAGTAAGTTTTCATATTTTTGTTGTATTTTGTATGCATGCTTGTCATTAAATCACATAAAGGCTTGAACATCTGATATTACTATAGTTTCATACATTGAAATTGTAGTTTATATATGCCCGTTCATGTATTACATATAGCGATTCAAATACTAATATTTACATTGTGATTAAGGATATTATTTTTAATAAGATAAAATTTTACTTCATCTTTTCCTTCGTAAGCCTTTAAGATCTTTGAACCGATTTCCTTGATCATGTTCTATAACGCGCGTAAAGTAAAAAGCCATATTCAAAACATTTAGATAAGAATATCTGGAGATATAAATCAACTTAACAATATACAGTTAAACGAAAAGAAAGAAGTTGTGGAAGGACAATCACAGAGGCAAATAGGAAATTCCTGAAAGTAGACTTAATGTATGACTTTTAAATAGTTTCCTTTTATGAATAAGATAGATAAAATTCTCGTTTATTTGGTGTGCTTCTCTCGGTTAAGATCAATTCCTTTATAATATCAGCGAAAACGTATTCAGTTAATTACAATGTCGACATTGTCAAGCCAGATTTGTTCAAAGCCGATAAATAAATGTCTTAAACGCTGCTACTCTACGGTTTTCTATGGAACGCCACAGCTGTCTTATGTGGAACTTTGATATAACGTTTTATTACATTGGTTGCAATGAATTACATTGATTTCCCAGTGAAATAAAAACCGATAATTTCACATGTGAAATAAACGTGGTTGTTGCACTCCTCTGACGTCATACAACAATAGGCGTTGTCAAGACGTCGATAACGTCGGATCAAAACAAATTGTGAATGCGTAGAAAACGATATAGTTCCTTACATTTTCTACTTTAATTTCACAAAAAAGCCATTTGCCAATGTAATAAAAAGAATAACTAATCAAAGAATTCAAATATCGAAAAATATTCAACTCATGACCGAACAACACTGATAATTAACTCATGCGCTACGCGCATTCGTGAATCAATGTGTTGTTCGGTCACTCGTTGAATATTTTTCTCTATTTGAATTCTTCGATTAGTTATTCTATAAATGTTGTTTTATTATTACATGATAATATTTTGTCTTTACATAATATGGTTTTGACTTTACGTAATGATGTTTTGATATAACTCAATATGGAATAGTCATTACTAAATCATATTTCGACATTACACGATATATGGTCTCGTATTGAATTGATATAGTTTTGTCATTACTTAATATGGTTTTGTCATTACTCGATGTGGTCTCACCATTATTTAATGTGGTTGTTTCATTCGGCAATGTGGTTTTAACATTACTTGATGTGTATGTGACTTAACGTAATATATTTGTTTCATTACATATGTAGTTTTGTTATTTCGTAATGATGATTTGCCAATTCTTTATATGGCTTTAACATAACGTAATGATGTTTCAAAATTTGACGATTTTACACTACATGATGTGTTTGTTTCAGTATTTGATGTGGTCCTTTCATTCTTTGATGTGATCACATTACGT